TTCAAAACTGACATATGTTCAAAATGCGCTTTCCTAAACGTCTGTTCAATGTGAACTCCTTCATTTGCACTACTTTGCATTCGAAGGGTGTGCGCACATCCGAAGAGTGAGGAGGCCATTCATCCTGCACATATAACACTATTAGGGGTGGCCTACAATCCTAGTAAATCGTATTTTCAACTTCTAAAACTGGAGGTGGGAATAAAAAACGGGAACATATTAATTGCGTTATTTCATAGCGTAAAATTGCTCACGGCAATTAAGATTGGAGGCAAAAGAAGGCATGAGAAAGTGGCCATGTTAAAAAACGATTAGTGGTAGTGCTGATAATGATCATTATAGGCAACAAGGACATTCGTTTGGTAATTTGTATTGTGCATGATCAGAGGAAGTAGATTCAAGGCCGAGAATCATTACTTGGTTTTTAAAAAGGGATGAAATTTGCATCTTCAGATGTGGATATTCATACGCTCCCATAGCATAGCTTATAATGGTAGGACATATTGACACCGCTGTTCACCAAGGTGGTAAGTGTAGTAACATTTGCCACCCCATTTGCGTTTAATATGGTGCACTCGAGAACCCACAGAAAGTCTTTTATATGCTCTTTCTCTGTACTTCTACATTCAGCACTTTCCATCTAACCCACCAACGCAAAATGCAGGTAGATTAAGACTCCAGTAGTTGCTGCTCTGATTTAAGTAGTGAACACTGGTAAGACTTATCGGGCTACATCGACATTGCTTGGCCATCTTTCTAGCCTAAGGGATCTAACAGTGTGAGGATCTGAGGCAATCAGCCCACCCGATCACATCTTCACAGCACTTTATCATTACAGTCATGATCATTTGCCTGCAAAAGAGGTCTGCAAATATTCACGAACATTAAAAGCAATAAAAAAAATAAAGTGGAAATTTCGGACTTATTTTTAATGGTAAAATTTACGTTGACAGGTACACTCGTATGTTTATGTGCACAAAATTTGCTTTCCTGAGAATATATAAGGATTAGGATGGTAGAAAATGCTAATGAACCAACAACCTGCACACGTAATTTCCTTAATCCCAAGTGATAATTTGGCCTTTCATT